ATATATATATCCCTTTCAAAGCTCTTATTTCAATAAGCCATTAATTTCTGGGTTAGACTATGTGTTAAAGTGCCAAAAAATTCATTGACAAGGATGATATATTTCATTCAAAACAAGTAAACCTAGCAGGAAAAAAATAACATCTTTAGCCTGAAGAAATCTTTCTAACACTTGTTTGTAATCCCTTTGGTTAAAAGGCATACATTCATGCTTTTTATCCAACATTTCACAAAAAGAAGCTGACAAAACCACTGAAAATATTTCCATCCACTTCAATGATTCAGAAAATCCAATGAATGTAACAAAAATCCTTTTAAAATCTCTATTCAAACCAAACCTTCTAGGATGCATTTAGCACCTGCAACGACACTGAGAAACTGTGACTGAAGGGTCTCTGGACCCAGCAAGTGCTGTTAACCATGTCGTGCTGCTGGAAACTGAGGCACAGAGACTAGGAGCCTGTTCATATTCGTCAAACATAGACAGATCTTTATTATTTTTTTTAGCTGTTTCTAAATGATGATCTATCACACGCACACATTTCTTTGACACTAGAAGAAAGGTAGCTCAATAAGTTACTTGGTATGTCTCCCATTCAACTCTAAGTGCTCATCTTTAGAAGCCTCCCGCAGCTCCCAGGGAATTGGCAGCTAATGAAGTCAAAGAAATACTGGGGTTCATTAAGCACGCAAGCACTCTGCTGAAAATCAAAGATCAGCCTGGTACCCCCTGAACATATCATAGTTACCATTAAAAATCATCATAGTATTTGAGGTTAGTAAAACATATTGCTTAGGCTATAAAACATTCTAAACTAGTATCCCAAATGTCTTGCCTCAAGCAAGCACTTAAATTAAAGTTTCAGACAGCTGGCACTGGAATCAAAATAACAGTTTTGCACAAAGAGATTGGATAAACATGATTATTGTTTTCATAATTTATTTTGTCAATGCGCAGCATCGTGCCTCGCTCCATCCTTTGTACTTGGGCATGATTTCTCTCTTTTCAACAGGTAACTATATATTTCATGTGGATTTTTACAGAAAACAATCCCAATTGATCTGCTGCTCTCGAATAATCTAATCCCTAATTAGTTGAGTCTGAACACTAAAAAGGCAGTATTGTGTGCTTTAATTAATTTCCATAATCTGGAATTTTTGTCTGCTTGCCTCATGAGATTGTTTGGTTTTCAAGGAGAGTCTAACACAACAATATCACCTCTTCACCTATGAAAAGGATGGCAGTGTTCTGGATACTCAATACAGCACAACTGCAACAAACCCATAGGTCTTAATTAAGACTAAACCCACTTCCTATTTACCTTCAGTGACGATTTTAAAATGCTCTTCCTGCATTTATTCCTCGTCTCTTCCATGTTCTGAACATGGTTTGCTCCCCTTCAAGTTCCTTAAGCACAGACCTTCCAACCATGCAACATGATTTAAAGTATAGGAATATAGTGCCAGAAATCCTATGCAGCTACCTCTTACCTAAACACGCATTTTCAGACATAGATCCCCCAAACATTTCACATTTAAAACTCTCTTCCAAAGCCAAAACGTGGCTTCTTGAACAAATCTCAGAAAGATTTCTTCAGTATTTTATCCACACGGTTAGCCAAGAAAAGATCTCTCGAAATCATCAAATCGTGACACACACAAAAGGAACCGCAGTTAGGAGAAGCTCCAGCTTTGCAGGCATAGAAAAGCCTTGCCACATTGCTGGAGTGTAAAACCATTGTCATGATTCACGTTGCTTTCTGCTACCATTCTGCAACTACTTTTTAAAGAAACGTTATAAAACGTTCAGAAGGATTCGAGTTTTGACAACTACTTTTCTTGTAGACCCCTTTGAATATTGTCACTGCAGATCTCTCACCTAAATGAGAGTCTAAACCATTGCCTTGACGAGAACTGAGCTCCCGTGCTTCAGTTCACACAGCTGTAAAGTGGAGATATATTTCTGTATTTTATATTTTATATATTCACTGCTTCACAGGGCTGTTCTGGAGCTCGTGAGCACATACAAATTGCTTTGACTCATTCTGTTGAAAGTATCCCATGGACAAAACAGATCTTTCTCACAAATATAAATTAGGAATTATCTCCCTTGTACTCAGAAGGGTTAGTCTAAATTATTACACGTGCGGGACTGAGAGCAAAACTTGTCCCTGTTTATGCAAACTACTTCTATGGTTTCTGCTAGCATGAAAGGGGGTGAGCAGTTCCGGCAATCGTGCAAAGGATTTCTCAAGCCAACACAGGCCAACCAGGTCCATTTTGAGGTTGCCCTTTGCTTTCTCACCTTGTGGGAATTCTTTGTGGAGCTGTGACCACCAGGGCCTCAGAAGATGGAACCAACCTTTCAGCTTCAGGGGAAAACCCATTTCCTACCACCTGTGCCCTAACCAGACCTCAACTGGTCTCAGCTCTCCAGAGGTCAGCACATTAGGACACTGCCCCATTGCATGCAGAATTTCATGCACGATTCAGAGGAGGAACAAGATGCAGAAAACACTAGAAATTTGCCAGTACTGATGTTTAGCTCCTCTCTTTCCTTCCTTGAACATATCTCTGCTGCTTTTAATTAAGTTCTCAGATTCATAGCTCGGAGATCTTTAATAACTACAGAAAGTGCTTGCAAGGCAAATTTTTCACTTCTAAGAAGGATGGTTATAATAAATGCTACCCTCTAATTTATAGGTAAACTTAACCTGATTTTACCTTTATTGCAATACATTGCATGGCCATTTTCGTGCAATAGACTGATGACATAAAAGATTTTAACTTTTAATAAATGGTGAAAACGTTGGATGGTATGCCTTCAACACACTGTAAGTATAGTGCCTGCTGATTAATTAATCTAATTAACAAAGGTGAAGGTTTATAATTGGGGTTAACTAGAATTTAACTGGTCATTGTTCATACCCCCCACTGCATTGTCCCCTAAGTAACTCACTCTGGTAGCCCTCCACGGTCCCTCGACCCCAACTTCAAATCCAGGGATCAACCAGCTTGAAGGAAAAGTATATACAATCATATTTCCAAGACTGTAATAACAGCAGAACTTAATGGTGTGATATTTTTATACTGTTTGGGAAAGAGACCCTATTTTTTCTTACTCATAAGCCCAGAGTATTTTTAAATAGTTCAAGTCCCTGTAGTACTTCACAGTTTGCAGCGCAGTTTAAAAAGTAATACATCTTTTCTTAGATGTACCCCAGATTCTGCCTTTTAATAGACATGATAATGAGATTCTGTGTCTTCATTTCCCAGTGTGCAGAAAGCTCAAATAAATCTTTGATTGTTCACAACCCTGGAGAAGGCTCCCAAGCCCAGGAATGTAATGATGTTTCTCTAAACAATCATTGCTAATGAAATTTAAGTGTATTTAAAATATATAGATGTTTGTGTGTATATATATTAGTACTATCGGAATTGCTTTTTATTCCTTTTACTTTGTAAATTTGTATCTGTCTGCAGTAAACTTAGCTCTCAAGGGATTCGTTGCTAGGAGAAGGGAGGTCCCAAGTTATTTCACTGACCTGCAAGACACACATTGAACTTCTGCTTTTGAGTGAACTTTTAAAGTGTTAGAAGAGCCATTTGGTGACTTTTTCATAAGATTAGGGACTGCATCCCTAGACCTCTATCAAATGCATCAGAGAGCAGAATGCAGCCCAACTGTACAGTTTTGGAAGGACGTCATAAGCTCAGACCTCACAAGGTTCAGGAAAACATCACTCAATATCAGTCAAAAGACACAGATAAACCTCTGCTTGCCTGTACATGATCTGGACACCTCTGAACCTCTTTGTCACCAGTGTAACACTCTGGTTTCCTTTGGCTACTTGAGGTGCTCAAGTAACTACTTCCCAAAATAGGGAACAGTTTTACAGGAAGGGAAATTGAACAACCATCAGCATTTACCCATTGAGTCATCATTCTGCACAGACTGCTGAATACAATTATTGATGTTCAGCAAAGACAAATATAACATACTCGTGCTCAGGAAAAAATGCTAATGCCTTACACCTTCAGTCATTGTTAAATTTGCTTTGAAGGGAATCCAGACTTATCAACATTGCTTGTTTTATTTCAGGCTACCATTGTTACCATAACACTTCCAGTTTGTTTTCACTCCTTTTGCATATATCAGCCGTTTTCTCCTGAAAATATATATCTCACATTCCTGAGTTTTACCAAAAAGTTACACTCTTCAGAAAGGTTGCAGTAAAAGCATTTACATTATCATGCAATCTATGTCACAAAGAGGCCTGACAAGACTTTGAATATCACCAACTTCTAGAAGTTATAGCATAAAGAGACTAAGAGAAAATACCAAATTAAAATATCATCTGTAGGCAGAAAAGAACCCTGAACACATAAGGTGGAAGAAGAAAGCATAGGGAAAGCTCTGTAGACTTCCCTCCCTAGAGGGCCTGCAAATCCCAAGCAGCATCTACCATGGCCATTTCACTCCCACATTCTCAGTCTCAGGTGGAGATTAGTAGTGTGAATTCATTGATTAGCCCGACCATCACTCAGTTCTCATGTTTCTTTTTCTTACCTCTCCTTTCCACCACTGAACACAATCTTTAGAAATCACATCTACAAACACTTTCTCGATCAGAAAATAATTCCCTCCTCCTCATAGATTTAAGTACATTTTGTAGGTAGTTGCAGTATATATTTTCTCATAAGTAAGTTTTCCTTTCCAAGTACAAAAATTCTCACTATAGGACTTAGTGCTGAGCTACTGTTCTTGGTTCTAATGCAAAGAGAGCCAGACCCTTAGCGGGAGCGAGCAGGCATTACCTTACAGCCTCTGTTACACCGTCACCTGTGAAGAGGCTGCCTTTAGCCACAACAGTCTTTCAGATGCTTTTGGCATAAATAGTGTCTCTTTCTACTTAAACAGTAATAGACATCGAGACTCAACAAGATCAAATCAAGGCTATAGGCTTTACAGCAAGACTTAATAAGGCAGACCAGGATTACCTGTTAACCGGGAAACTGAAGAATACATTTCTTCAACCTTGGATAATGTTTCTCTCATTTCTTCATCCCTTTTCTTTTGTATGTGGCCTAAAAATGAACCAGAAAAAGGCAATCATGGAGGGGAGAAGAAAAAGGGTGAAAAAAAGAAAAAAAAAGAAAAAAAAAAAAAGTACCCCAAAAGCCAGTTAGCCATTGGAAATCTGCTGGATAATCATGGGAGCCATAGCTAACTATTGCTTTCCAAGTCAACATGCCCTGAGAGTCTTGAACTCAGATATTCCAAGGCAGCTAAGTTAAGGCCCCATCCTATCTGGCAAGCAGCTGCAGCCTCTTGTTAATTAACAGCATATTCCTGACTTGGTCCAGCTTGTATGGATGAGAAGGTGTTTCCCAAGGAAATTAGAGTAGGAATAGAATAGGGAAAAAGAAGAAAAAAAAAAAGAAGAAAAAAAAAAAAAAAAAAAAAAAAAGGTGAGTTCAGGAGGGCAATGAGGCGGGGGTTAACAACGCTGCTTAAGATCAAGGGCTGAAGTGCTGAGATGCTGCCAGACTTGAAAACTTTAATTTACTGTCACTGTTAGCCCCCTTTGAGGTTTATGGTGGTATTTATACACACAGCATCAATCACATGAAACAAGGAGGGGATTTATAGTTTGTTTTAAAGACTGCAAATGCAATGTAATGCAAATAGCATGCCTCATGGGCATTTACATTTAATGGGAAAATTACAGATGCAAAAGATTGGTAGAACAAATTTTAAATTGACTTTATTACATCTAGTGCTTTTCAGAGAATACTATTAAAAAAAACACGAGGAGATATGGTAATGGAGTTCTACACTGTAGCTTGACAGCTTAAATTCCACTTAACTGACTTTGCTTGCATCTTTCTGTTTACATTACTTCTTCCAATGAGTTTGGCTGGCAAGATCTCTGGATCATAAACTGATTAGAAGCTTTGATTCTGTTTTGTTTCCTTTTTGGGGTTGGAATATTTAACGTGTAAAGCTGATTGTATCTTGCTAACTGTTGTTAACTAAGTTTTATCATCAGAATTTTTTAATGTAGATACAGTTAGGAACAGCTCTTTGAATCTATTATCACCTTTATATGTGACCATACATACATAGTCCTTAATTTGTATGAGCTTCCTATATTTCCTCTTTATCTCTATAGATAGAACAGAAAGAGATGGCTGCATTACTTTGCTCGATGATGGCGCAAACATTCAGAACTAATCTCAGCTACTTATGGAAAGCCCATTCTTTCTCAAAAAACAGGTTTATTTCCCAGTATTCCCTTGTGGCTACAAACACTTCTCCTGGAATGAAGAGCATTTGCTGTTGCAATTGAAGGTTGTTATCATCATTTGTTGACTTATGGTAGATCCATCTGAAAGGTGTTGGTGGGTCTCCAGCTCACCTTCAGCAGACCAGATGAAGCCCTGGTTCAAACAGGTGCAACTGTACTTGCTTCAGGGAAGCTGTGCCCAATTACACAAAGGCTGATTTAACACCCTATAATGATTGCTATATTCCCATCCCATTCAGGTCTCAAATGAGCAAATAATTGAAGGTGTTTCTTAAGCCCATTCCAATTGAGTGAAGATTGAAGCACATGTGTTGTTTTTAGTCTGTTTTGCAGCCAGCAGCAGAGCAGCCTCTCTACATGCTGAGACCTGCTTTAAGATGGTAGAAGCCTTCCGCCCTTTGTTCCTTCAGATTTCCAAATCTTTGCTGTCACACAACATAACACCCGTGAAAATGCTTTACAGACCTGCTCATCATGCCATATTTTAGCCACAGCATAAGCAAATGATGATGTGACCTTTCAAGAGCATAAAGCATGTAGTCAAAGATTACTAGAGCTCAGCCTGTTAGGACTGTGTCTTTCCAAGATTTCAAGCAGAATCTCCCTGAAATGAATGCCATCCTCTTTCTTTGCTTCTATTCATCATGATACATATGCATGTACCCTTGAGATACCCTATAAACTTGTTATCACCAAAAGGCCACGATTAAGAAAGGAGACGATTTGCTACCCATTAGTGACTCAATCAATTCTACTATAGTCAGTGAATATTTGTTATTGTCATCCACAAATACCCCTCCTGGATTTCTGTATCCCTATTTTCAGTTTCTGTAGGTCTCTCTTTCATCTTATAGAGTAATACCTTACAAGAAGACTTATAACAAACTATGTGACATCTCAGTGCATTTATTAGTGAGGAACTGAGTCAGAGCAATGTTTGCTCTTTGTCCGGTCCTGACAGATATATTCTCCAGGTGTTGTCACCCATAACAAACACATAATGGCAGAGAGCAGCCTATATTAACATTTGAGCTAATACAAACATGCACTGTTTAAGCAATTCACCTGAGATTGACTGCCTTGCCGTTGTGACTTTTGTTTAAGGTTGTAATCCCATGCGATGACATTCTCCTCCAGCAGTATGTTAGCAGCAGGCTTGGGAGTGTCACGATGATGAGGAAACCATAGGCTCCGGAAGCGAGAGCAGAAGTGAAACAAACTTTCACACTCAGAAACCATTAATGAAGTAAACACACTTGAACGTTGACAGGTAACTCACAAAGCCACCTACCAGTCTTGTTCCAAATCAAACCAACAATTACACACACACACACCAAAAAAAACCAAACTATTTGTAAACAAAATTCACAGTGATTTTTAAGTTAGATTATCTCATGCTGGCCATGCATCTAATGCCTGAGCAGACACAGGAATGTCAAAGTAGAGAAGGAAATGGCCTCTTTTCCACCAGCACAGCACACTCTGCATCCATTTTTATGTTTCTGATGATCCATAAAGAAAGTACATTTACTGCAAGGATGAACATCATAATGGAGAATCCAAAGCCTCCAACACCACTAAATGTGGTTACATTTGCTTTAGGCACTGTGAGTATCGCAAGTATCACTGTTTTCAAGAAACTACTCATCAAGTTTAGCCATACCTGGAAGAATATAGACAGCTGAAGCTAAAATTGCAGTGCACAGAGACACATGCTGTCCCTATATTGACGGGTAACCATGTGCTCGTGTGGGATGAAGTGGAGAATTGCTTCTTGTTGTGGAAGGTTGTCGAGGCAAACATGCACAAATCACAATATTTGGACCAGTTTTGTAACCCACAAATGATGGGTTTCTGCAGAACTTAATGAAATGACGATTTAAACCCCCTCCCACTCCCAATTTATCTTTCAACAAGAATTAATATTTTTTCTGGAGATAAAAAAATAAAATAAAATACACTGACATGATATGTATCGAGACAGAAAAAAAGATATAAAAATATCGAGCCCCTTAAATTTCAAGTGCAATTGTCTTTCCTGGTAAACATTTTCCACATCTCCAAAAACAAACACTATTCAGAGTTTAGCCCAAGCTTCTGAGACACCAATTACACTGCAGCACTCAAGGACTGTCATCTGAATGTAAAGACAAATACTGTCCAGATAGCACATACCAGCTGCCAGTTCCTGTGTAGCAGGATACTCCCTCACCTTCTGTTTTAGGTTTCTGAAAGATTGTTTTCTTTTAAAATGGCAGGTTCCCTCCATTCCTCCTTTGCTGCTCACAGTGAGACATGTCATCTGATACTAATTTGTACTCGCTTTGTGTTTTGACTTAATTTGATTAATAACTATATCCTTTAATGGCAGTATGACTTAACAATATGCTATTATGTTGGTGCACTGCACTTCGGCATCTAGAAGCCATTCATCTGCATCACAGCAACATTTTGAAACTAATTCAAAGTGGCATTTTTCTGTACCTCTTTACCACAGGGTAGAGGCCTGCTCTTCTACTGGAATTGCCAGCTAAGAGCTGCAGGCCAAATCTGGCTTGAATTTATCCAAAGACTCCTCTTAGTGCTCACATTCCAGGCTGGCTATCTATAGAATTGTTTCACCCCTTTTCTCACCCTTATCCTATTGAATGCCTTCTATGTCTTTTTTCTTCTTCCTTTTCTTTTTTCTCTTTCAATTCCCTCATGCATTCATTTTAGATATTTCAGAGTTTGTTAGTACAATACTCCGGACTGACAAACCCGTATCAATATGGTAAGAATTTACCAAGGAGCTTACAAACACACATTGCCATAAATAAATAAATAACAATAATTTTGTGACAGAGACAGATAAAGGAGGATAAAAGAGAAAGGGAAAAAAAAAAAAAAGAATTTATCACACCTCAAATTAAGTACAATTGAACTTTGCAGTGTCTTAAGACATAACACATGCTGCCTGGTGGATGGGATGAAACTAGTAAGTTTTGACATTGTGTGGGGAGGAAAGGAAATCCAATGAATTCCCAGCAGCTCCAGATAAACTTAGGAAAAGGTATCAGTGCACAAAGTGTGTTTGTGTCATCAACACCAGTGGAGCAATTTGCAGATGAAAGGCAAAGTTGATACAGGGCAGTTGAATACAGGGCAGTGGCATGTGGTATGTGTAATTCTGCTCGTGATGCACCTCCAAAAAGGGGAGGGAAAAAAAAGAAGGAAAAAAAAAAAGAGGGGGGGAGGAGGGAGGGGATATCTAAGGAAATCCAGGAAGGTTTCAAGTTTTAGGAAATGCAGGAAACATGCAAGAGGAGCCAGTGCTTGGCAGGAAGAGGAACAGAGTCAGCTCAAGAAGGGATGTCGCAAAGCTGAACTTTCCTATTGCTGACAGGAGTCAGTAACAGCTGCTTAAGGTTCTTGCTCCTGTAAAAGAAAGCTTGAAACTAACACCCTTGGTGCCACAAAGCAAACCTGTACGGGCCTTGAGGCAATTAAAAAATCATACATAGTAAAAAAAAAAAAAAGAAAAGAAAAATAATTGCCCTTACCGTGGAAACAATGGCTGTAAAGTTTATACATGATGGTTTCCTTTGTATTAGACCAATGCTTGCCACATGCCAAAACATAAACCAGATTCCATAATATGTAGGTTTTTCATAATTTCCTCAGATTAGTTTTTTATTAATGCCTGTCAACAGCAAATGATAGGCATGTGTTGCATTAACAGCCGCTACAAGCCATGCCAGCCCTGACTTTGCTGTTGATCTAAAACCTAGAGGAAGC